TTCCTTCTTGCATTATTTTTTAAAATATAAATTCATCTTCTTTCTCATTGTACCATCAGATTGGAAGCAGCCTGTATATCGTTTATCGTTTCAACTTCACGTTTACAAAAGGTTACGGAACAAATGCATCGCGTAGATGATCCAAGCATCAACGATAAAGCACAAAATTACCAGTGTACCAGTTCCACAGTTCAAAGATACCCAATAAGTTCACGCATTCCCTTTAAACGCAACCTCCAAGCATCCAGTAGAGAAGTGACACAACTTGTTCGACGTGTTCCATCGTTCGACTTTTCCATTCGATTCGCTCGCACGTACCGCAAATCATTCCAAAATCTTCTAGTAGGACGCGTCTGTGTCCCCTGCGCGTTTCTCGCACGAGGGAGACAGATTTGCGGCGCAAGCGTGCCAACATCGATACCCCACCAAAGTTCTCCCCCGTTTCGGTACGAGCTAGTCCGAGACGGTTCGGTGGTGACCATGGATGGTAGGGTGGAAACCTCTCCTCCGACAGGGCGATGCACACGGTTTCACAGAACGTTCAGAGCCACCTCCACCTTTCTATGCGTCCCTCCATGTCCCTCCAGCTTTCTGATCCTCGACGCTGAAGCCGGGAATCCCGCGAAGCCGACTCCATAGTGTCGCGGTACCCGCTAATCAAATCGCACATTCCGAGATCTTCGTGGCAGCGTGTTTTTTTCCTCCCTCCCGGTCAATTGATAGACGTTCGTTCAAGTTCCACGTTCGTTTGACACAAGGATGTTTGAAATGCACCAAACGATCGTTCGTTCGTTCGTATCACGACCCGCGATGATCAACGTCGTAGCCAGTGGACGGTGAGCGCAGGAAGAACGAAAAGAATTAAATGCAGAACATTACCGAAACATCATGGAAGTATGCGCCGTATCGTAATTCGCGTTCTTCATTTACCCCGGAAAGTGGACTGATCGGTGCACCATTTACGGAGTCCGCGAGCGGGGACAGCATAAAAGGACAGCGGGATTAATTCAATCGCTGGTCCATCGACGTGGAAGATCAGTCACCGAGCGGAATCCCAAGGATTCCGAAGAAAAGTTCGGCCAGGCGAACGGAAGAAAGTCATTGGCAAGTGGAGGATAATCATCATCGGTTGAATGGACACGAGCATCGGCCGATGACGGGTTCGGGACGTGTCCTCTCCACCGATGCGAGGGGGACGGAAAAAACAAAAGGAGAGCGTGGCAGGACGAAAATCGCGATTCAAGAGCCGTGGAATTCGGCGTTTCTTACCGGTCGGCGCATTCGGCTCGTATCTGCCGGACGAAAAGAAGACTCGCGACGAACGGCAACTCCTCGCCGAATCGGCCGAAAGTATCGCTGCTACGTGATTCATTGGGTTTTTCTCTCTATTGGCATTCGGGATTTACATCGGTCCCGGCCACGATTTCCATCGACGCGCGTGTAAAAACTGCACGGCCTCCTGCTGCTGATCAAAGCCGAACGGTCGAGATAGACGCGCTGCGAACGAGATTAGAGGATAGAACCGAGAAAGCCTACGCTGCTATCGACGATCTTCGTCTTTCTACGCTCGTCGTCGAAACGTGTCCGTCACGAAAAGGGTCGTTTCGTCTGCCACGTTGAAATTCGTATTAGGATCGGAACGCGAAGAGTACCCGTAAGAAAGGCGTCCTCTTCAGCTCATCCGGACGTGGATTTTACCATTTTACTTATCTTCTCGATGTATTAGAAATACGAAGCTTTAATGTATCATACCGGTCGGAGAAGTCTCCGAGAGTATAATATTATCCTAAGAAACTGGTACCAACCGAATCGGAAGAATCTGCAGTGTTTCCGATTGTTTTCATCAGTTTCGTATGCGGTGCTATCTCGTGTCAATTATAATGCAATCTCGGAAGTTTTTCGATGCACTTTGTAATGAACGGTTGCGAAACTCTTTAGCGTGAATTGTACAAGGTCCGAATAAAGGGTGCCAGGGCAACCAACGATAATCCGAGCATCGTCTGGGCAGAAGGAAAAAACGAGAAAAGTTCGTCGAGTCACAGACGATTTTACTAAAGAACATCGGCCGCGATCGGAGCAACATAACCAAGGTTATGGTCGAGATAAACCGGGACCCGTGGACGAGCCGATAACACGCGAACTGTCGCTCTGGAGTTCAGCGCGTGAGAGGGACCGAACGAGTGCGCGGTTGGCTTCAGGTCCGCTCGGACCTTGCCGGAAACCGAGGTGCTCTCTTCAGTTCGATTCTCGATCTCGGCATGTCGATTCGTGTCTCGATTCAGTCGCAAGCGCAAAAATTCCGCCCAAGAATTTCAGTGATGCCGAACATCCGTCTCGGTGACGCGTGATACACCGCTTCCGAGTGACAGTTTTCCCCGTTCCGGTTGTCGCGTTTCGAACTCGTTATCATCGCGTTTTCTTTCGCTGACGAACGTTCGCTCGAAGAATGCAACTATCCCGAGAATGGATAACGCGACTAATGAATCGAAACGTCGGAGTTCATTGATCATCGTCGTTGCGGCGTAAACACGCTCGGGTGTTCGCTTTATTGCCGGTAAATCGCGGCTTTTTTTTTAGTTTCCGTAAAGCCGCAGACAGAGACTATTTACAAACAAGCCATTCAGCTTCGGCTCGTAGCAGAGGCGCTCGTAAACATTCGTAAGCGTTCGCTCGCTACGCCCGGTGATCCACGAAACAAGAGACGTCAGTGCTCCTGTCGCGCGTGATACGCGATCGTTCGGCTGACAAGCGGTGCGGAGTTCTCTACCCCGTGGTAGACAAAGTCATCGGAAGGTGACAAACGTAAAGAGCCTCTCGACAAATCGATCGCCATCAGCGTTTACTTCATAACAGTCGGGACGACGAGATTACAGCGGGAACTTTGGACGATCGATCGATAAAAAAACGCGAAAACCGATTGTTTCCTTCGACGTCGTTCAAAGTGGCTAGCCGCGGAGGCACTGAGAAGACGAGGAAAGTGTGTGTCGATTTCGTGCATCTTCATGAAACTATTTCAGCTGGTAGTGAATGAACGATACAACTACGGAAATTTTATGGTGGAAAGGTTAAATTTGTGTTTCAAGAAATGTCGAAACGGTGACTTACATAGTGTTCACTGAACGAAGCTTCAAAAATAGCGATATCGAAATTAATAATAAATGTCTATTGTCTCCGTATCAAGACTAAATCGTTCTTTTCACCAGTAACCGAGGAATATTGGTATGTGTAGTCAGCACTGAATGGACTATGAATCTTAATTCAACGATCGTATATCTTGGGTGAGTTAGTGCACGCTGAAGTGAATTTTACAGAAAACATTTTCTTGTAATATAAACTTTGTCAACATCGTCAAGAGTAACATTCATTCGTGATCTTCGGATTGTCGATTGTTTTATTAGCCACAAGGAAACGCCTCTAAACTTGCTCTTACAATTGAACGGACGGTTGGTCAGGATTTGACAATTAAATACCTTGGAATGAATAACACAAACAAGAAGATTGTGTAGTGCTAGAAATATTGTGTTTTGGAAATCAAGGATATAGGACCTTAGAAAGCGTACACTGAATTGAGTTTTAGTTTTGTAGCAGGTATCATCTTCTAAACTTCATGAATATCGTCAAGAATAATAACAATTATTCTCAATCTTTAAGTGATGGTTCTTTTCATCAATCACGAGGAAATACTGCTAACCTTGAAATCATAATTAAGTGGATAATCAATCCAAATTTAAATAATTGTTGAGTTGGTTTTCAAAAGTAGCAGAACAATAATTTGAAAAATGCTCAGTATCTTGAGAACTTTTAGAAAAAATATTCTTTCCGAAGCTACGTTTAGTCATAATCGAGAATAGTAATAGTTATCCTCGATTTTTAGATGATCGTTTCTTTCAGTAATTAGAGAAGAATACAATCAAAATTCTAACTGTAGTTGAATGGATGATCAATTCAGTTTAATGATCAAGTAAAGATTGAGTTGATTTCGAAAAGCGAGTAACAATTTAAAAAGTGCTGCTTAATTTAAGATTGAATCACTGGAAAGTTATTGTAGAACAGTCTGCAACTTGGATAACAGTTATCTTGGATCTTCAGATTAGGACCAAATCATTTCTATTCATCGATCACAAGATGACATAATCGCATAAACGATCAGTATCGATCTTGGAATAAATTGGAATGTGCCAGAAACATTGATGCTGTGTTCTAAAGAACAATATTGTCTGTCACTTTAAACGAATTCAACATCAGGAGAAATAATAATTATATTCGATTTCGAGATCAGATCCAAATCATTCCGCATCCATCACAAGGACAGACTATTAAACGTACAAAGATAATAGAACACATTTTGGAATAAATTATAGTACGCTGAAAACGTTGATGGGTTCCGATGAACGATATTGTTTCATACTCTAAACCCGTTCAACGTCCGCAAAAATAATATCAATTATCCTCAATCTAAAAATTCGAACAAAATCGCCCTATTCCATGATTACAAGGACAGAACATTACATATACAAATGGATATATCTTAGAAAGAACTGGAATGCGTTGTAAACAGTGACGTGTTTCAACGAACGATACCGTTCCAGTTTTTAAATCTATTCAACGTCAACAAAAATAGTAGCACTCACCCTCGATCTTCATCATCGGGTCTAAATCATTCTATCCATCGATCACAAGGATACATCATCAAACGTACAAAGTAATTGTCTCGATCTTGGAATGAACTGTAATGCGTTGAAAACATTGATGTGTTCCGACGGACGATACCGTCACAACCTGTAACCCCATTCATCGTCATCGGAACTATCAATCGAATTCGCTCTGTAAATGTGCAATAATAATTGATGCCTGGTTAGAGAAGCAGATCGAATTGACCGTAGCTTAAGAGAAAAGAGCGAGCCGACGGTCGGCGTTTTTCGCGATTGCCACTTCCTGTTCTTATACTGGAGCTGTACTTGCCGTAAGTAAAGATTGAGTTGATTTCGAAAAGCGAGTAACAATTTAAAAAGTGCTGCTTAATTTAAGATTGAATCACTGGAAAGTTATTGTAGAACAGTCTGCAACTTGGATAACAGTTATCTTGGATCTTCAGATTAGGACCAAATCATTTCTATTCATCGATCACAAGATGACATAATCGCATAAACGATCAGTATCGATCTTGGAATAAATTGGAATGTGCCAGAAACATTGATGCTGTGTTCTAAAGAACAATATTGTCTGTCACTTTAAACGAATTCAACATCAGGAGAAATAATAATTATATTCGATTTCGAGATCAGATCCAAATCATTCCGCATCCATCACAAGGACAGACTATTAAACGTACAAAGATAATAGAACACATTTTGGAATAAATTATAGTACGCTGAAAACGTTGATGGGTTCCGATGAACGATATTGTTTCATACTCTAAACCCGTTCAACGTCCGCAAAAATAATATCAATTATCCTCAATCTAAAAATTCGAACAAAATCGCCCTATTCCATGATTACAAGGACAGAACATTACATATACAAATGGATATATCTTAGAAAGAACTGGAATGCGTTGTAAACAGTGACGTGTTTCAACGAACGATACCGTTCCAGTTTTTAAATCTATTCAACGTCAACAAAAATAGTAGCACTCACCCTCGATCTTCATCATCGGGTCTAAATCATTCTATCCATCGATCACAAGGATACATCATCAAACGTACAAAGTAATTGTCTCGATCTTGGAATGAACTGTAATGCGTTGAAAACATTGATGTGTTCCGACGGACGATACCGTCACAACCTGTAACCCCATTCATCGTCATCGGAACTATCAATCGAATTCGCTCTGTAAATGTGCAATAATAATTGATGCCTGGTTAGAGAAGCAGATCGAATTGACCGTAGCTTAAGAGAAAAGAGCGAGCCGACGGTCGGCGTTTTTCGCGATTGCCACTTCCTGTTCTTATACTGGAGCTGTACTTGCCGTACGCACCACTGCCGGGGGGTGGCGGAATCCTCCCGGCGGTGAGCAGCGGTCCTGGTTCAGGAGGGTGTCGTCCGGTACTGTTGGGTGGCGTCGATCTGTCGATGTCGGCGGCAGTGCAGCCGGTTCCGACGCTGCCGACGCTACCGAGTAGCGGTCCGCCGCCGCACAATCCTCTTCATCATACACCTGGAGGACTACCTTTACCGCCGCTGGGGTCGGCACCGGTGATGATGCCCCGGCCACCGACAACCACCATGCCATCTTTGGGGCCTTCGTTGCCACCCTCGCATCAGGACACCGGCGACTTAGCGGAGGCTGCACCCAACCAAGACGTTCTGTTGGCTTTGCTCGCCAGGAACAAGAACTTGGAAGGTAAGGATTCTTTGAATGTTTTTGCGCGAGACCTAGGCGACTGATGGGCAGTTCAAGTGCCCGTCGGAATGATCACGGGCAGACGGTGTGCTAACTGCAGCGATGTGCTGTTACATCTGTTAAACAGGCTGTTCTGGCTTTTGCCACGAAACTTTATTTCTATTCGTTCAAATAAAGAAAGAATGTTATATCAACATAGGATTTCTGACACTTTGTTAAAGAATAAACATACAAGATGACAAGGAATTCCTTTGTTGCTTCATATTACATATGGGATGATCCACTTTCGCTCTTTACTAGCATGTTTCATGAATAAAGATAAGAAAAAATGTTTATATGAACATAGGCTTTTGAATGCATTATTGAAAGTTATTTAAACAATATGGAAGTCGACAATTGTTCGTGTATAGTGTCTATGTTTACATAACATCTTTTTATCGTTTTTAGGTAGAGAATATTCTGGTAAAGTTTTACATATAAAACAGGGGCACATTGTATGTGACATTAAAAAATAAAGGAGTCCGGAGTCATTTTGTAGTGTAGATATAACTTTTTCATAAAGTATTTAGAGCCCTATGATAATATACCATCTTTTTCTTGTTGCTGCGTATGGAATATATTCGTATAGTGGCACTAAAAAATTAAGACATTCTACACATGACAACTTCATATTTTCACGTCGAGAAGTATAAACAATTCATAAATTGGAAATTTAGAAATTTGGAATTCAAAAATGTAGAAATTTAGGAATACGGTAATTTGGAAATTTGAAAATTAGGAATAGGAAAATTAGATTAGGAATGTGCAACTTTGGAAATACGGAAACTTGGAATTGTTATTATTTATTTATTATTTCGAGATCGTATTTCATTTTAAAGAAGAGGTTAGATGCGAATAACAATGTGCAAAGTTGAAGAACTGGCAGTGGAGTAAGGGTAAGATAAATACTCTGCTTGCTCCACCTTGGACTTGTAACACAATTTAATTAATATTGTCAGTCATTGGAAACATATTTATAAATTTTGTGCATTAATTTTGATAGTTTAATTGTTATGTCATGCGTGATATGCTTATGACAGTTATATCATAAGTGGATGTATTCTCTCAGGCTATGATTCATTTTATAAGGGGTGATCTAACTATACATAGTTGTTAGATATTCTTAACCTAATTATCTTTAACCTAAAACATAAAACAATTACTTTTATTATATTTAATATTAAAAACACTTAAAAATTAAATTTTGGAATCAATTGATATAAACGATTACTTCTGAAAATTTTATGTATAAGAAAATGTATCAAATTCAGTAAACCACAAAAGGGTTTAAATAATTTAAGCCCAATATAACATACTCTTTTACAGAAATATCTTAAATAATAAAATTAGTCATGTATAATAATAAACTATTCCTTCACACATTTAATAAATTATTCCCCATCACAACAGCAATAATAACTATGGCTATAATAAAATGAAGTTTTGAAACACAAAGGCCGGCTTTTAATCTTTGATCTACCAGAAACTTGAGCCAAATGTTAAAACAAGGTACCAAACTAAAAAATGAATGATCCTCACATTTGTTATCTTAAATTACAATTTTCGTTAAAATATTTTCTTGAAATATACGTTTACGTCGAGAGGAATCGATTCATATATATTACGTACAATCAATATGTTCATATATGTGTATGTATGTATATGTATCTATTCTTAATAATAGAAAGAAATATAACAGAAAATTTGCTTAAAATATATACAAAAATTCAACATTCTTCTAGAAATATTTTGATTGATTTATAAATATTGATCTATTTTCAGGAAAATTTAAATATGAACTATGATACCTGAAATAAATAAATAAATTAGAACTTTTAATTTAAAATTTATGGTGTATATCATATTACGCTATATATTTATAGTTTATACTTCATTGGAGGATGAAAATTTATTTATTTTGTTTATGAAGTTTGAGAAAAAATCTTATTAATAAAAGTAACTTTCATAACAAAACTTAAACGTTATCCCTACTCGAAGCATTAAAATAATTTATTACAATTGATTAAAATATATAAAATAATCAAATGTAAAATTGATGAATACTCTTCTCAGTTAATATCGAATTTTGTTACTTCATTTATAAATAGTATCATTAATTTTTAAAGTGCGAAGTTTTTCTACTTAATAGTACAAACAAAATAATACATTTCAATTGAAAGCATTTTCGCGAGGTTTGTTGTGATATTAAATGAAGAATAAGGTTTGTAAATTACATCAGTCAAAATATTAAATGAGTTTCAAGATAGTAGTAATTGTTTTACTTTTTTTAAGGGTATTTATTTTTAGCAATCAGTTTATATCTGTAAAACGCCATGTTATCATATTCGTCGAAAGTTCGTAAACTTCCTTAACGTCACGCAGCAATTATCATTTTACGTTAAGCTGCGTAAAATTTGTCTGTATTTCTTTAAAACGAAGTACATGATGCAATTTATTGTAAGAAATAGCGTTACCGACACCAAGATTGCATTATCTATATAGAGAAAAATATGAATCTTACCAGACTTATTCTCGAAGTAATGTGTCCAAAGTGCATCATTTATTTGAAAATATAACTGAATTTATTTTAAGTTCTATTTATATATCGTTCACCTAAAAGTATTCAAACATTGTATACAAGTTATGTAGTATAGTAATTATTCGTTTAATAATGCATGTATTTCACAGAGTTGTATTGATGGAAAATATGTAAACGTAACAGAATTTAGTAATAATTTATTTAATGTTACTATAATATTACGCATTATAGGAGAAATAGAACTAAATTGCGTCAATTCAGTATTAATTACCATAACTATTATTTTTCTTTCTGAAACCTAGTTTAAATATATCCAAAACAGTATTAATAATATTAATAATAATGTAATAATAACAACAATAGTATACTAATGTTATTATATTATAATTAATACTAATACTATTACGAAAATATTTCCTATTTTGTAAGAAATAATATATTTTATTCTGGAATTATATTTTACGTGAAAAAATGCGCGAGTTTTGTTTGAGGTATTTTGTTCTAACAATAAGTTGAATATTACATCTGGTAGGCTTACAACTTCAAGTATCATTAGTACCTTAAGAATTATTGATAGCACATTAAAACGAAACAAATATTTAGACTTCTTGAATCGCAAATTACCTGTATTACTTGATCTAAGCCTAGCAGGCAGGCAAAACATGTGGTTTCAACACGACGGTTGTCCAGCTCATTATTCACGTATTGCACAGCAAATACTACATTGGGATTTTACTGATCGTTGGATAGGTCGAGGTGGTCAAGTGTCCTGGCCATTGAAATCACCTGATCTAACGTCACCCAATTACTTCCCATGGGGTTATCTGAAGGAAAAGATATATCAGATCCACCTACTGCATCAGAAAACATGCAAGAGCCAATTATAACTGCGTGCCGTAATATTGCGAGAAGAAATTTATTATTTGTTTATGAGTCTTTTATTAAACGAATTAATAAGTATCTAGAAGTTGAGGGTGCAAATTTTCGACCATTTGTTGTAATGTTTTTAAATTAAATAAGAAACATTTCAGAAGAAAATAACGTCGCCATTTGAATAGAAAAATATTTTTGACATAAACATGAAAAATAAATTAGATATTTTTAGAAATTTTGTTGTAAGTTTTGACGTTCAAAATGTATCAAACAAAAATCGTGCACTTTTTCACGTAGAATACGATTCCGGAGTAAGAAATATGGTCTTATGATAAAGAAAGACAAAATGATCTTGAAATAACCTTGAAAACGCCGAGGGATTTAAAAATTAGATCGAATTTTTCTCACTCGAAACACTAAAGGACGTGTGTCAGTTTGTTTTTCTTAAATCACACGTTTTCAAGTTTTTTTTTAATGTCAACTTAAATGAGACATCCTATATAGCTGTGGTGTATCGACCAAGCATTAGCGTATAAATAGAAATTACAAAACTTTCAAATTTCAAATATTTGCATTTCAGTAACTCAATTAAAAATTGAATCAGAATCAGAAATCATTAAAATTGTACAACTTTTAAATTTAGTATTTGCACTTTATACGTCTAGAAATTCAGGAATTTGATCATTTTTAACTTTTAAATTTAGAAATTTGAACATCTGGCAACCTTCAGTTATACTATTAAAGCAACTTAGAAATTTGGATATTTCGAATTTTATTTTTAGAAACCTTGGATTTGAAAATTTAAGAATTTTGAAAATCTGCACATTAAGAAGTTTGTAAATTTGAAAATTCAAGAATTTGTAAATTTGTGAATTTGGAAAATGGGAATATGGAAGTTTGGGAGTGTGAGAAATTTGAAAATTTGATTTTTCAAAATTTAAACATTTAAAAAATTGAAAAATTGGGACTTTAAGAATTTGGAAATTCATGCATTTAATCTCTCAAAATAAATAGTAATTGATGGTGCACATATTCCCTAATATACATATATCGCATACGTAACATGAAGGTTCAGTTCCTGCATTTACTGAAATTAACAAAAATATTCATATGAAAATTTTTCCAGTTTTACACGTAAATATTTTTTTCTCTATAAACATATCATCAGCTAATGTTTTTACGCAATTTCGTATAATACAAAAAAATCTGTCCCAATTTTTCAATAAACTATGCAGACTTTACAGTGTGTTTCATGCAATTAGGACATACTGTACTATCAAATAACTAGAGATGATAAAACGTGTTGAAAAGCAAAGTAATCTGTATTCAATGATGCATAATATCGAAGTGATTTTCATTCATTTTACCGATACCACTAAAAGATGTAATTAGACGTAATTAGTACAAAAGAGTACTAATGGTTAATGAACGTTAATATAATTATTCATATTTACAGAAAATTTTATTAGTAACTTTTTATTAGTAAATTTTTATTAAGTAAATTTTTATTAGTTCAAAATTTAATATGCATAAAAGTTCACAACATTGT